CCAACAACGCACCTGGAAGGCGTTTTTACAAATGTTTCGAATGTGTATAACATCTTCCTGAAGGAAATGAGTGGACGGGAAGGATCCAAGGTTGACGTCACTAGCCGCTGGATCCATTCCCCCTCAAACGCAGCCGTGAAAAAAAAGGCGGCGTTTTAGGTGACTTTGCCGGGGCACAGAAAATCGAGGATTTAACCAAATCCAAAAATGTCTTCGCAGAAATACTTCGACTTACATGTAGATTTATTTAAGCGAATAAAAATTGTTGGGGTTATAGGCACTTTAATTAGTATTAGTATAATTACAGCCTCGTACCCAGACGTCTCTCTTATTTCCAAGAAAATGGGCGCGCAAAGGAAGGAGGGAAGGCGAAAGGTCGCGAGACGTCTGGCAGATTTTGTTTTCAAGATGGCGGAATGTTTAATGGCGGATGATTCCGTATTTTTAAAAATGAGTGTAGACCTGTTAATTTTGCACATTTCGAAAGTCTACACCCATTATGTAAAGAAAATGCAGTTTTCTTTCCAAAAAACGGACTACAATATCACTATTGGCTTCGTCATTCTGAAGTTTCCTGCCACAAATCGAAGAAGCAGCCTGTGCTAGATTCGATAGAATTTATGCAGAATTATGAAAAAGTTGCACGGTCAAGAAACAAGAAATCTCTTGGAGAAGCTGTTCGAGACCCGATCGCAATAGGTAATATTTGCATATTTATGAGAACGTTCGTTCGTTCGAGCTTCATGTAGCCTAATATTAGGTAATACCCCCCTCCTAAAGGAGAGAATTTTGTTAGTGCCCCCCTCTAATCAGTCAGATATTATGTACGACCCCCCCTCCACCCCTCCCCCCCACTCACAGTATACACACACCTTTATACAAGTACCCTACATTTTCTCTACACGCACCTGTGGATTAAAATCTTATAACAGAAAGAAGAGCTCCTACTACATGTTTAATTGTTGGACATCCGCGTCTGGAACAAACATCACCTCGGTAACAATGTTCAACAGAACCATAGCAGAAGAAAAAGAGCGGAAAATTTGTCGGTTTTCATCTTATAAATAGGTATGGATTCACCAATGTAATATGTACTTGAAATAAAAAGTTAAGCCCCCCCTCTCTTGAGTGACTTATTTTACCTTGAGCCCCCCCCTATCCTTGCTTTGATTTTACTTTATGCCCCCCCCCCCTCTGGTTTTCCAACCCCCCCACCCCCCCCTCCTGGTAATTATTACACAGTCCCTTATATATTACAGTGCACCCAACAAAATTCTGTACAAATTAGCGAATGAAACCTCGGATGTTTTATAATAACAATAAATTTCCCACAAATTATAATGGATCTAAGCAAGCTGCATGCTCTGAATTACAGGTTTATTTAAAGGCTTAGCCTTTACGAGTTAAACCAACTAGACATGAAATAAATTTCGTGAGCAAGAAGGCCTCCTTTCTCTTACAGGAGTGCAATTGTTCGGTATAAACTTAGATTTACCTTACAGCTGTGATACATTAACATAATTATTAATAATAAAAATAATCTCATTACGTACTTTACATTCCTAAAAGTTGCAGTGCGTTAAACCAGATTCTAAAATAAACAGCAACTTAAACGTTGACGATAGCCTTACCCGATATAGTCAAGTCATCAAATGATTCTTCAAGGTCTTCTACTATAAAGTTCGAATGAATCCTCGCACTGATCCTCGACGTCCTTGGCAGCCATCATGAGCCATAGGTAGCAAAGTATTGCGAATTTCGAACCCTACGCGTATCATTTTAGCGTCTACAAAGTCTACAACAAAATACTAGTGAAATCGAGCACTTGCAATGCTTAAAAACAAAAGATGAGGATTGCCAAGAAAACGACAAAATTGCCAAGAAATCGACACGTTTTCTCGCAGGCGCTTCGCGTCTCGTCTTTCCCCTTCCCATGGTCCCTCGCGCTTCGGGCTCGTGCCCAGTCGCTCGTCCAATCGCAAAAAACAAATGCGAAGTGCCTGAGGAGGAGGCTGGTATAATTATGTATTTCCCTATTTTAGTGTTGTATTAGTCTAATTTATCGTAATTAATTACATTATCGATGTAAAAATTGTCTGCATAATACTGTAATATCTATGTAGGGAAAGCGATGTAAATAATGATGATGATGATGATGATGATGATGATGATGATAATATATATGCAGTAATGTAATGTAATGTAATGTCAGTACTGTACATATATGTTATTCGCCGGCCGGGAGGTCGGTATAGGGAAAAACTGTGCCCGAGGTCTCGAGTGCGGCCCGAGGCCGCTGTGTTTATTTTTTTCCTACTTGGTTCTGTATAAATGCTAGAAATCTTGAAATCTTGTTTTGCAAAATCTGTTTTTCACGCGCGCACGTATTCCTTTAACTTATCGCAAGGTCGCTATATTAAAACTACCGAAGAAATAAAACTTAATCCAAATAACAAGAAACTCAGATGATTAATTTTTACACCAAAATATGTAATTACAGAAAGCTACGTAGCTGTGAAGAACAGACGATGGAGACTCAACGGAAATTTCACCACTAAAAGCAGCTGAAATGAGAAGCTATTAATATTATTTAACACAAAAACCATTCAAAGTCGCAGCCGGTGGCATATTTTAGGACAATCTTCAATATTCTTGAAAGCATTTTTCGAGCAAAGCTGTTTCCTCAGTTTTCACCAATTTCATTTCTCGTGTTAATCTAATTTTTACCATTCGATGGCAATTTATAATTTTCATTTTATGCGAAACCTTGACAAACTGTAAGCTTGAGAATCAGGCTAAAATAAGCTTGCATACATTCAGTTTCAACGTACGGCACAACTGATTTATAAGCTTATGTGCCGAGGATTATTTTGTGGACTACCGGTAATCACTAAGTTCATTCTTGAATGAAACTTAACAGAAGGTATGTTTAGGAAAAAAGAGAAACGAAAAGCAAATGATTAAAACTAAGGAAATGAGTCTAAACACGGAGATTTGTAATTCAAAAATACAGAGCGCGAGCGGTGAAACTGATTTCCAAAAACAACAACAAACTCAAATTCTGTCGGTTAAAATCAAATGAAAACTCGCCTTTTTGAAGAAATGCAAGCTCTTTAATTCCACTGCGTTGTTCTCCATTCACTTGACAACGGTAAGAGAGCAATATAATGTTAGAAACGGCAGTATAAAAAGCTTCTTCGCATCGACCTTCGTCCTTCGCACGTTGCTGAAATTAAAATGTTAGCGCATGCCTACGCTACGATTCCGCGGGTCTCCGACGGGTTCACTGGCAATTTTTCCCGCTTCCGGGACAAATTTTGGCTTGATTAATATGTTTTTGTGGGTCTTACACTGGTCTTACAGTATTAAACGCATTCTGGCAGTTTTACAAAGCTAAGCAAAATTTTCTACCCGAGTAAATTGCGCAGTGGTCGGAGCGGTCCGTAACTCGGGGTCCGTACTGCAGGATACGGACCGCTGAATCGCGCGCTCTTAGCCAATCAAATTCAAGGATTTGGATACGGACCGCTAAAAAAAAAAATAATGCAGGTTATTAGTGTAAGCGTAGTCATGTAAGTTATGTCTTTGATCGCAATAAATGTTTTTAAAAAAATAAAAAAAAAATAAAAAAAAAGCTAGTTCAATATTCTGAATTACGCAAACCACATATATTAATGTGTCTCTCGTCAAAGCTCAATGACTGACAGCCGTGTTTTTAACAGCAAAAAACTAAAACCAGTGGGATGTAATACCCAAGTATAAGTTGTTTGAGCTTCTTGTTGGGCTGAAATCTTCGTTTCAAAGGACAGCATCAGATTTATTCCTCGTCAGAGGAAATTCGTTGGTTGATTGATTGATTGATCGATCGATCCATTCATCCACCTGCCCACCCACCCACCCACCTACTCACTCACTCATCCATTCATTTCGCGTTGATTCATACATGTGCGATTGACCCCCGTGCTGTATTCTTGATATCTAAAACATAACTTATTTGAATCCGAAACGTGCTACTGATATGAGATTTTTTAATTAGTCAAGTAACACAAATGCACCTGTCATCAGAATAGAGTAGCCCTGAAAGCTTTTTTGTTGTTTAAATACAAAAAGCATCGAATAGTTGTATCATCGTTTAAAGTTCTAAAAACAATATATAGCAACTGAGGTCTCGTTTAGGATAGAAAGTTTGTTCAGTAACGCCTCTTCGTACAAATTTACGGCGACAAATGTTTTACAATCAGACGCGAAATTACCCATCTCACTAGTATAGCTCAGTGGTAAATAAGAACTTATTAGCTGTGAAGCAAAGTTAAACACAAGGCAATTACAATGGGTTCATCGAGGTGTTCTGTCCGTTAAATGAATACATTTATTCTGCTTTTAAAATATCAAACTAAAAAAAAACTGAACTCAGTATTATTATGACAATCATTAGCAATTCTGTACATAAACGTGATCAATTTTGTTCTTTATTTCAATCACTTTACCATTCAAACTCTTCTTTTGCAGTTGAATTTATTTTTCTCATGATAAGTATTTTCTATAACCGTAGACTTAATTGGCAAATTACTTATGGATGGTTTTCCATACATGACAAGTTGTGCAATTAAATTACTCATTTTTTCATTTTGCAGAAGTACGGCCGTGGTTTCACTACTAAAACTGCAATTCAGCACAGGTACGGATAACTTCCTTTTCTACTTACACACATACACGAGAGAAAGAAAAATGCAGGTTGATAATCAGTGATAAACAAAATTGTTTAACTCAGGTAACACAAAAGCTGTTTTAGCACCTTTAATTTTAAAATATTACCATGAAGAGTACAGCTTTTCACCGAATGTTCGCTGGAATTACAAGATCGAAAATTGCAGTGGTCTATGGAGTGCCAAATGACTGATGGTCCGGTTTGCTCTACATTTGACATATATATTACGAAGGTAGATCATCGCAGTGAAAGATTTACAACTTAATTGTAAAGAGAAACCTGAAGAAAATTCAGGCTTGAACAAGATTCGAACCCATGACCTTGCGATGCCGGTGCAATACTCTTACTAACTGAGCTATGAAGCCCGGTGACGTGGGAGCTGGTCATTTTGCGAGTTCATATTATACCCGTACATAGAAAATAAATGAATAAGAATATATGAAACATCATTTATTATATGGCAAATTGGTCCATGATGAAATGGATCATTCTGATTAGTTCCCTGAGCGGTCCGAATTTGCATTACGGATCGACCGCTAATTTGGACAGCCCACGAATTAATTTCGCCGAATTCCTTTTATGAAACGTTGAATAGAAGAAAACTGTCTTCTATTAAATAGAAACATTATTCCTTCATGTCTGGTGGATGTTTTTGGTTAAACTTTAGCGAAAATTGCCTGAGATATGCAAGTGCAAGTATATGCTTAACTTTGGCGCGCGCGTTAGCCGAGAATTGTTGCTTTTAGTTTATCAGCAAAGTTAAAAAAAAAAACATTATAATAAAAAACATTATTGAACTAGCTTGTTCGGTCCATATTGGTCCTAACGAAAGGGATTTATACAGGTAATTAAATCCTGGGTATAATTCGTATTTATACAGATAAACCCTTGGTATTTATGGTACACAGCATTAACAAACGTCGAGTTTTGTTGCGTCCTTTTTCACTCGTTTCTTCCCTGCTTTTCGCTCATGTTTTCTTTTTTCCTTTCTTTTTTCCTGTACCCTGTGGGCCTCAAACCTTCACCCTTAATTATTTACCTCTGGATTACATGTCTGACGTCTATACTACTACACTATCGTGGATTAGTTGAAAATTATTCTTGTTAATTTACTTTTATTTTCCCTTACTTATGGGAGGAGAGATGGACGGAGAGATGGACGGCCGCTTTTCCGGCTTGAGACAGTGCGGAGTCGTATGAGAGCAAATGCCTAACTGGTTAGACTCATTTATAATACTTTCACAGTTCACGATAAAAAAGGCTAGGAGATAAATGTCTTCGTATTTTCAAATGGTGTAAAACGAAAGCCACGCAAATCTCTGGATTTACTAAATATACTATTTCGGCTTCTCTACACAACAGACAATAAATACATACCATTAGGTTTATTTTGCAGGTTTCGGCCGAGCACCGGGACTATGTACACAGTAATTAAAGCTATAACTTACACACAATATATATAGTATACGATAACTACGTACGTTATCCAATAATCACCATCACGGTGAAACACACGAACAGAGCTGGGAAACCACGCACAAAAACATAGTGGTTAGACGGAGGCCAGAAAAAACCTACCGAAAAAACCCCTTAGGGAAAAAATGGCAGGAAATCTGAGTAGGAACCAAAGACCCAAGCTCTAAGCAGATAGCAGCCTATCCTACGAGGCTATACAATTCAGAAATTAACAGAGCTAAATAAAGGTGGTGTCGGCCTAGAATGACTTCCCACGTGCTATACAAAGCTTAATATATACACCCACAGTATTACCCATGATACACCGTCACCCAACACAGGTCCTGTCGCTTTCGTGACGCAGAAATATTACATTTCAGGCTAATTCGTTGCCACGCAATCGCCAGAAATTCCATTTTTCTTCATCTCTCCTATGTGATATTGTTTTAATTTTGTGAAATCATGAAAGTTATTTTCAGTGATAAGAGCTCAGCATGTTGTCAGTTGTTATTATATAAGTCGATTGCAAACACAATGCAAACATGACATTTGTTGCTATGAGCAAAAAATACAATTATTTCACCTTTAGGGTGCAAAAGCTGTTAAAGGAGAATGACAAGCATCACGACAAAACAGCTTCTATAAAAAGTAGTATAAATGTTTCCGATAAAAATTAATTAGCACTACTAATTAAAAAAATTACAATCGATGAAAGCTGTTGGTTGGAATAAGAAAAAGTATTCAATTTATCGGAGATAAATAACCTATAGAACTTTCAGCCTTTGTCAGAGCGAAAGAGTCTAGTGAAAAGCCGCAACGCTCGAAACAACAGCTGGAAGCCGAACCCAAACCCTAAGCGTATTTTATTTAATAGTTTCAGCCATGTAAATGAATTTGGTTCGTTTCAAGCTATTGCCTTGACATATCTTGACCTTCATCTAAGTGTTGTTTGCGTTATCGTATAAATATAGAGTACACTTCAGCTGTTAAAAGCGTTGGGGCTGGTTCCAATTTTTCATATTTCTGCATCGTTTTCTTGTAAAGGTTTTGTTAATAAATTATAAGGTCAATACATCTGCTTGCTTTAAGCAAAACAAAATCATTTTATATTTTATCACTGAGTTCGAAAAACATTTTCTTAAGTCTTGCATTCGAAACAAGATTTTTCCAAGAAATTAGTACCCAATTTTTTGCTAAAACCAGTACATGGAAAAACTTTATTTGTCCTGTTTAAAGTTCGAACAATGCTTCACTGGATGCTTTTTATTTTACAATAGCCCCTTTTCACGGTTAACTTGCGATATTTGCATAACAATACACTTGAACATAGAAGCGAGGCAATTTCGGGCACAAGCTGCAAAACATCGTGTTTTTCTTGAGCTCCTTGAACTCTTTTAGTATAAAAACAGTTTTAAAATGTAGAAGAACTACAATTCTTTTAATTTACGTTGTTTTTAGAAAAAATTGTAAAACGACTTTTCTCTATTAATAAAGAGTAGACTCGCATAAGCAACAGGGAGATTGGATTACGATCTTTACAGCAAACTTTAACTAAAATAGGTGCATATTTAGTTCTTCTCCGTTTTTAAACTATTTTTATGCTAACATAGTTTAAGGAGCTCAAGAAAATCATGATGTTTTACAGCTTGTGCCCGAAATTGCCTCGCTTCTATGTTTAGCTGTATTGTTATGCAAATATTTCAGGTTAACCGTGAAAAGGGCTATTGTTCAAGAACAAAAAGCACTTAACTTGTTGCACTACTGCGTTCAATAGTTTTTCCTGTATATGATAAAAAATTGTCCGGTTTGGCAAGGTGGTTAACAACGGCTAATCATTGGCTACGAACCTACGATCATGTCCTGATGAAAACCCTGAGAGGTTGAAAGTTCTTGACATTAGTCCGGAATATTTTCACGCTCCAAATTGTTGAAAATATATAAATCTAGAAGAAAATGGAACCTATGATAAACACAGAACAATTAAAATGGTTCTTTGCGGTGTTCTGTCCGTTAAAAAAATACAATTGAATGCAATTTGTTTCCACGCCATATAAAACTTTCAAAACGCCAAACATAAAAAGTCTTTGAACAATAACGTTGATAACAAAAGAAATATGTTTGATATCTAAACGCGATCAGTCTTGTTCTTTATTTTGACGACTCGATCAAACAACTCTCACGGCTTAATTAATACTCATTCCTAGGTACATTCTATATCGGCAAAGATTTTCTTCTTTGCACATGAATGTGTTTAATTAACTGGAACATTAGCTATTCTTGGAACCTCGAGTCCATACATGCCAGGCTGTAAAATTCAATTCATACATAATAGCTTCCGAAATATCCAACCGCGTCAAGTTAATATTTGCAGTAATTGCCTTCATAGGAGATATGCTCACAACCAGGCAACTTCAGAGTTCTCCAAATGTAGTCCGTGTAAGCAGTAGACCCGATCATCAAAGGTTAGCTGATATATTTTTCTCTTTGCTTTTATAAACTAAATCAACTGGAAAAGAGAAATAATCTTATAATAAGAACGACGCAGGAAAGGATATTGTTTTAATTATTTTAAATCAACAATGCATGATCAAGAACCGGCCTAAACTCTCTTATACTTTGCTCGAATCATTTCACTGCAGATAGTAAATACCTGGATCGACAGTAGGAAAGGTACGTAAGGCCGGTATATATACCATCATTTCTTTATATACAACTGTTAGTTCCGAGCCTTTGTCGACTTGTGTTGAGCGGTCTCACACAGCATTCCCACATGTTATATTCACTTAGTAAATTTAGGTATTCGGTTTTATTCAATTCTTGCGACATTGAACATAGAACACTGCAGATATCTTTTATACGCTCCATGTTTAATTGATGTGCTTTTCGCGTACAAACGATGTTAGGTTTGTTGTTGTTAACGACTTTCAACGCGAAATTCAAATAGAACCCACCTTGAACCAGGGCAAAAGAATCTGGAATTGTTTTCTGACTATGCAGTGAAAAAGTAACAAAAGAGAGTTTATATCTGCAATCTAAGAAGCGGATGAATTGTAGCTAATTAGCTAAAGTATAAACAACTAAATTGCATAAACCATTGTACTTAACTTTGCTGTCACGCTATAGGAACCCTTACCTATTAATTCAAATAAAACTGAAACAATACAAATAAGATGAAATGTTATCCCACAGTCCGAGTAAGTTCGCGAATAAGTGCTTTTCACAAAGCACACTTTTTATACATCGATTCAGCATCCCAGTATTAAATTAAATAATTACTTTTTTTCGGACTGGGTTTCCTGGGTTATTACCTCCTATCCGACATTTTTCTGAGATATTTTTCAGTATATTATAATGGATTAGATCAGAAGCTTATTACGTGAAAAATAAATGATTACATTATTCAAATTGAAACAAATAATTAAAACTGCTCTGAGTTTATGGAAACATATTTTCATTTTAAAGTAAAACGCTTGTAAGGATTGAACAGTCAAGAAAATAACTTATCATGTGATTGATTTTCTTTTCTGTCTGCAAGTGATCATTTCCGATTCAACTTTAAATTATTAGTATTGTTATAACTTAGTTCAACACCATTGACAAGGCATTAATTCAGAACTGGTCGAAAAGAAGAAGTCTGAGACGACTGTACTGTGCAACAGGCAGAAGTAATTACGACAATTACAGCAGACCAAGTTGACACTACTATAACAATAGAGTGTTTCTGTCGAGGAACTATCGGCTGATAGTTGACCCGCGGAATTTTATGTTCTAAAAAACAAATATTAGCCCGAGAACGAAGTTCGAGGGCTAATATGCTAGTTTTTTAGAACATAAAATTTCCAAGGGCAAACTATCAGACCGATAGTTCCAAGACAAAAACACTCTATTGTCATTATTGTTCACCACTAAA